ATATTACAGATAAGGAAACTGAGGCATGGGGAGGTTAAATACTTGACCTAAGTCACACAACAAGTAGTGAATCCAGAAATCCAACCTAGGTGGTCACATTCTTGATCATTAGTTTGTGTGCCTACCTAATAGCTGGTAACTTTTTTTTCAGCAGAGGATGATATTATCAGGTCTTATTTTAGAACAATCACTCTCAAGGTCATGTGGAAGACTGAAGATGGAGGGCAGGTGGGGGTGGTTAGTGGAAGAAGAATCTAGGCAGACCAATTTGGAAATTGTTCAAAGATCCAAACAAGAGGCAATGACTACCTCAGACAAGAAATTCTCAAAGAAACCCAGAAACCCTACCAGGTCTTGGGGAGACTTGGCCACGGAGGACCTAGTGTATTTGACACTCCGAGAACTTGCTTTTTAGTGTGCCCTCTGGCTCTATAAAAAAAAAATGCGTTCAATTAAAAACCACAATAATGGAGCAAATGACAATGACCAGAAAAGAAACATACATACTGAACATTTCTCCTATGGAAGTCTTATATGTAATCATGCCAGAAAAATTACAGATTAAATAGACTTTTGTACAAAAAAGGGAAAACAAAAAGGATTAAAACTTTAAATTATTTTAATATATTTTTTGAAAAAAGAGAAAAAAAGTATTCTCTTATGTAGGAATATAGTCCAAAGTGATACTGAGTAATAACAAAGATGAGCAAATTGTTCTCACGAAGCCCATGGATCTAAGAGCGAGAAGGAGCTTAGCCAAACATTTGTTGGGCTCAGTCCTGGAGGAGGAGTAGAATTCATCACATGGCCGGGCATTGGGCCAGGGAAGGGCCTTCCAGGAAGGAGGACCGCGCAGGGAAAGACATGCAAGGTGATGAGGCTGGGAGAAGAAGTTCTGCACGTTCTTGGCTTGAATCAACCTTGAGGGCAGGGCAAGTCCATGAGTGAGAAGCACTGGAGAGGAGAGGATGACCTTAGAGAGGTTGGTGGGACCAAATGCCCGGTTTTGCTCGCTCCAGAAAGCTTTTTCTTAGGAAGATAGGTGTCAGTGTGGAAGACAGACTGGCAAGGGTGGTGACAGGTGAGGCAGAAAGACCCAGGAAGAGGTAATTGAGCCCTGAACAAAGCCCGTGGCAGTTGGGGTGGAAAGCAGATGTTTTCTTCTGCTCTCCCCCAGGGCAGCAGGTAGATGCCTGAGACTCAGCCTTCACTAGACCCTGGTTTGTTTTTCACTCCAATAGCCCAGCCGACGTGCCTCACAGAATAGGTGCTGTAACTCGCACTGAATAGAGTCTCACACAGTGCCCGTGGATAGGAAGTGTGCTCTTTCACCTGTAGTTCCAAGTATGCCCTTTAGGAAAGGTGACAGTATGGGCTTACATCAGACTGGGCAAAGTTATTATTAGTGTCCCTTTCACTCGTAAAAGTATCCTGCTTTGGATGATAAATTATATCATCCTGCTTTGGGTAACCCCTCTCGAAGGAACCCCTGTGGGTTCCTAGTTTGTGGAATCTTGATGGTGGTGAGGATGGGAAGAAATCATGAACCTCATTCTGTCTGGACCAACCCATCCCTCCATTCCCCACCCTGGAAAAACTCCCCTGCCTGTCTCCAGAAGAATTAAGGGGGGGTGCAGCCTCGAGGGAGAGTGGAAAGCGTATTGGAATGAGACCTTAGAATACTAGATTCTATCTCCAGCTCTGCCCCCCAACAAGCGGTGCAGCCTTGGGCAAGTTGTCCACCGCTCTGGGCCTCAGGAGGCAAGCGAGGTCTCTTCCAGCGCTAATTCCCACTGGGCCACCTGGCAGGAAC